TTCAATTTACTTGTGTTTTGAAAGGCTTTCTGGGGGAGGGGTGGGGGCGGGGTTGTTATTCTGGGTATTTTCCCCTTTGCTGTCCCAGCAGATAATAAATTGATTGACCCTTGGTGTAACTGGGGGATTTGTTTCATTTAAAAATGATTTCTCCTACCCCTGTCAGTAGGACAATCTTGTTTCCTGAGAGGCTGTTCTGGTCAGCACCAAGGATCACTAACCGTTGCCCCTCCCATGGACAAGGGTACCAAAGGCTCATGGGACGGTATTGGGATTATGGTTTTTATGGTCGTTATTTCTTGTTATTGTGCATACTTTCTGAGCATCATTCACACGTAAGGGTTCAAGAAACTGAGGTTTTCAAAAAACGTAACACGGAAGTCGTGTAACTGATACAACATTTTTGCATAGCTTTGTCTAGGTGGGAGATAGATCTCACGAAGACATGTTCAAATCCGCGCAGTCTGTCTTGGATCGGCCGCACCTTTAAACTAAGTACTATAGTACACGACCATAATGCGTTTACAATGGCGAGTCACGCGCGAGACATTGCAAACACCCATACAGCTCGGACGCGCGAATATTTCATCGTACTTTATATTATATCAAAAGTCAGTTAGACTGGCTAATTAGCTGAACATTTGTTACTTCAGACGAGCTGTTCAGTAATAGCTTGTAATAGGGCTTACAGCGATTTACATGTGTCTCAAATGCTCTCATAGTTTTAATGAATAATGAATGAATTTTATAAGCTTTGTCACATCTATTTCAATATTTTTAATTTTACATTTCAGAGCTTCGTGCAAGAAATTTCAAAGCAAAGGCTAACTTTGACAGACCCGCTCGCTGGGAAGAGGTATCTTGCGAAGAATGTTATCCAGGTTGCTTAAAGGCCTTAGAGAGAGATGAGGTAGAGGGTGACCACGTTAAGCTGTGCAAACAAGAATGCAAGTGTCCAGAGAAGCGAGGGCTAGACGTTTACTTTGACAAAGCTTCCATGGACGCTAGGAAGGAAGATTTTGAGAGACTTGCCCAAATGAATGACTGGGAGGAGGTTTGCAGAGAATGCTTTGTAGATTGCTATGATCTCCTTCCAAGCATCACTGGTTTCCTGATTAACTTATGCGCGAAGAACTGCAAGTGTGACAAGCTCAGCACGTATCCCAAGGATCTACAATTTTGTGGAGGATGCTTCCCGGCTCCCGACGGGTGTTATATGCCGAATAAAGACAGAAAAGACAATTCAGCCCAGGAAGCGATACCCTTGTGTCTTAATGAATGCCAGTGCATTTAATCTCAATTAGACCTGTGTATTTCATCTGTCCAGTAAATTTAAACTATGAGCAAAATTTTGAACTTAAACTCCGGATAAAATTGAAAACTAGTGAAAACTTTCGACCTCAACTTCTTCGCTGGCAGATGTCGTGTCACGCGCATAACGTCCTCGGGTTTGAGCGAGGAGTAAAAGAAGCCATCTATATCAGGCCCAAGGGTCCGACTCTGAAAAGAGATGGGGGCTGGGCCAGGGCCTATCAACAATGACGTAATCTTAGCACATTATGCGCACGACACGACACCTACCAGCGCTTATGTGAACAAGACTTCAGTTGAGGTCGAAAGCTTTTATCAGTTTTCAATTCTATTTGGATTTTAAGTTAAAAAGTTCGCTCAATTAGAGCTTAGTACCCAGTTCCTCTCAAGCTATTTGGGCCGCGGTGGTACTGGAATGAGAGATAAAATGCATTTAATCTTAGTAAATAATTACTATGTAGTACTGATTGAACTGAACGAACGTTTAGTTACGTTAAAATTTTGTTCGGAGCAAACATGATGCTGATATGTTCAAGAGGTGAAATCCGCATTGCAGAATCTTTTTCAAGGAGGTGCTTGTTATATGCCCGTCGCATCGTCATATTCTATGACGATGTAGCTGTTTCAGCTATAATCATTTGTTGATTTACTTGTTAGTTACAGCCTCCATATTGTACTAAACTGAGGCTAATAGTTGTCAATTTACCAGCAGTGAAACTATATACGTACGGACAAATTAAAACAACCAAAATACATTTGCGGCCTGCCGTGAATTTTGGATCGACAATATATAGCTACCTTTTTTAAGAAAAGCAGCCGCGTTTTTAGGCTGGTGTAAAAACCGTGTTTGGAGAAAAGCTTCCCCCATTGCAATCCTATGTTTCATATTACAAGATGATTATTTGGCAGCCTGCTAAAACAGTTGACTATGTAGTATTGCGGTGATGTAACGCTTGCAAAACTATGAACCTTTCGGTTTCCCAACATAACTTTTTTTAATTATATAAATTTGCCGGGTGTGAGTAGGGTGGGTCCTTCTATAGTTTTTCGGTTTCTGAAAGCTCTTGACTGTTTTGTTTTAGCGTGTAATTATGATCGTTTGAAACACTCTTTTCGGGGATTTTTTAAACCATTTTTAAGCTTTTTCTAAAAGTTATAGTCGGCACTTGTCCCCTATGCCCATATGGTTTTATCGACAGTAATAATAGTAGAGCATTAACTTACGTCAATCAGTCTCTTATCTTTCCACCTTTAAAAATGGTATCCAGATCTCAACTGAAGTTGACTAAAATAACAGGGTGCATTAATTTGCCACATGGGTCTATTGCCGTCTTTCTTTGCCCGTTTGAGTTTTTGTTGGTTTTTAAGCTTAAAAACAATTATAAAATAACTCTAACGGGCAAAATGCGAGGGTTATACGCATATGTGGCAAATGAATCCACCCACAGATATATTTGAAAACACCTTTGTGAGACCTTTGACTTGAATATCGCGGATATCTGACCACTCTGGACATATTTGGCTACACCTCTGTCAAACGTTTGACTTGAATGTTAAACATATTGGACGGTACCTTTGCCCCATCTCTGATCTGAGCCTCAGACACATTTAACGACACTTCAAGCAAGCCTTTGACTTGAATCTCAGACGTCATTTTACCGCACCTTTTTCAAAACCTTTGGCTCGAATCTCAGACATACTTGATAACAGCTTTGACAGGGGTACAAATGTTGATCAAAAAATACCTTTGACGCGCGTTAAAGGTGAGGGATAGAGGCCCGAGACAAACGGTGTTTATCGCCTGAAGACCCGCCTGAAGACGTCGTGAAAGTCCATTTGTCGCGTGTCAAAGGTGTACAAAGGTGCTCNTTTCCACCTTTAAAAATGGTATCCAGATCTCAACTGAAGTTGACTAAAATAACAGGGTGCATTAATTTGCCACATGGGTCTATTGCCGTCTTTCTTTGCCCGTTTGAGTTTTTGTTGGTTTTTAAGCTTAAAAACAATTATAAAATAACTCTAACGGGCAAAATGCGAGGGTTATACGCATATGTGGCAAATGAATCCACCCACAGATATATTTGAAAACACCTTTGTGAGACCTTTGACTTGAATATCGCGGATATCTGACCACTCTGGACATATTTGGCTACACCTCTGTCAAACGTTTGACTTGAATGTTAAACATATTGGACGGTACCTTTGCCCCATCTCTGATCTGAGCCTCAGACACATTTAACGACACTTCAAGCAAGCCTTTGACTTGAATCTCAGACGTCATTTTACCGCACCTTTTTCAAAACCTTTGGCTCGAATCTCAGACATACTTGATAACAGCTTTGACAGGGGTACAAATGTTGATCAAAAAATACCTTTGACGCGCGTTAAAGGTGAGGGATAGAGGCCCGAGACAAACGGTGTTTATCGCCTGAAGACCCGCCTGAAGACGTCGTGAAAGTCCATTTGTCGCGTGTCAAAGGTGTACAAAGGTGCTCTTTAACGCGCGTTTGACTTCGCAGGATCCACTTCCACTCTCTATTCAGTTCGAATCCACCACAATTCACTCCAAAAAAAGAAAAATTGCGTAAGCCTTTATTTTCAAATGCTCTTGGGAGCCGGAATGCATATTCTCAGGAGCATTTGAGAAACAGTAACTTATTCAACCCAAGTAAGGGAATACGGATTCCGGAATCCAAGACTTTTTGCTTGCGAAATCCGGTATCCGCGTAGAATCAAGATCATGTAGAATCAAGAATCATGGGCTTTGGAATCTAGAATACAGCTCAAGGAATCTGGAATCCACTGAAGATTGGTATCTGGAATCCAAGTTTCATGGACATAGAATCCGGAATCCACGGCGTGGAATCCAGCACGGGTCGAATCTTATTCTAAACCCTGGGGACAAACAAAGTGTATTACGGGGAATTCGAAAATAGAAAGTCACTGTCACTTCACAACTGTTTCTCAGTTGGAGAAATGGTTTCACTGCATCATGGGCAAACTCGCGCTCTGTAAGAGCTTTTCTTTGGCCATATCTAGCAAATCTCTCATTGGCCAACGAATGTTTACTTCGTCTCATTTCACGAAAACGCGAAACAAAATGGGTCAATATATCCAGCCACCTACTCCGAACAAGTTTGATCAATAACTAAATCATATAGTACATAGGTCATCAGCGAAAAGTGCCACCAGGAATGCAAAAGAACAAAGTTTTCTGGCACCAATCAGAAGCTAGAACGGCGGCGACCGTTTGGAACTGGTCTGGTAAGACATTGTCCCCAGGGGCTCTTCTGGCCGTTCTTTACTTTTCTTTTGTGCCATATTTTTCCGCCCGTTGAGACTTTCCCTCGCCCCCACTATCTGCCCCTGGGTCTCCGAGGATGGTCGTAATCCCGTCTCAACGAGGCTAGTGTTCAGGTTAAATGAGTTGCTATTTACTATTCTTCAAGCTATTAATGATAACGTTTTTTTACACTCCGGACTAAAGTCGAAAGCACAAACTGATCAATATTGTTTATTCCAACAAAAACGGGGAACGCAAGACAAATTACTGTTACCAAATCATAAGTTACAGAATCAAAGACTCGAAAATATTTTTTCTAAGCAAAAATGATAATTTTTCTTATACAACAGAAACTTTCCAAGGCTCAGGAAAAAAAAAGAAAATTGATACGAACCTTTTTACTAGACTAAAATTTCACATATCCCGACAAAAAGCATTGAAAATTATTAGCTGATCGTGAGCTGTAAGCGTTAATTGTCTCCAAATTGACTTCATATTCAGCTCCGGAGTGCAGAACCCTCCGGTAAATACGGCCTTGTCGCCCTGTTGCGTGCTCTCTACGCCTGGCCTTGTCTTTTGGTAAAACTACTGGGACCTTTCGACTTTCTGCTGACAGGTACACTTCACCAACCCTGTAGCCAGGGCTCACTCTGGCTTCGTATGGAATATCAGCCACTTTTGAAGAAACCAATCCGCCAGTTGTATCACCAACAACGCTTTTCACGCATCGTGTTGAAGTAAAGACGGACGTTGTGTTGCCTGCGTCGAACACCATCCGACGTCTGAGGCACCTCAATGGTGAAGATTTTTTATCCTGAATTTTGTCGTGTGCAGGGGAGCATTCTTCAGGTGGGTTAGCACAATTATTGCCCTGGACCAAAACGAGTCGCTGCTTGGATACATTCACATGTGTGAAGGCCATGTTTGAGGTTAAAGTAGGATTTATGTCTTGTTTATTTCTCTAAAGGGAATAGTTATAGTGGCTATTGTTACTGAAGGAAGGGATAAATAAATGAAAAAAGGAAGAAAAGGGGGAAGGAAAGAAATACCGAGAAGTATATTCAACATTCGTGACAAGGAAGACGTGGTCAAAAACTGAAGCATAGGTGCCGTGCATTTTTTAATTGCAAGATCAGAGACAACCTTCTTCCCAGGATTCTCTTCCCATAAGAACGAGTGGGAGAGGTTCCCTGGGAACGAGGTTGGATAGGAGAGATGTGCACCTACCTACGAGTTATTTGATTACATTTTACCAAAAAGGAATTTGAAGTCTTAGAAAACTTACGACACCGTACGTGAGTAAACTAACGGACCGGGTTCACTAGGTCCACCAGTGCTAAATTCCCCGTAATCTGCGTTGCAGGCTTTTGAAGGAGAAGCGAAGATTCGGGAACGCAAGGCAAAAGGCGAAACCTTCCCCCTTCTTCGCGCGGCCTAAAATTTGTCGCGCGCGGTGCGCCCCCTTCCCCTTCGAAAGCTTCCCAAGCAGGCTAAATTTCCCGAGATATCAAGTGATGTTAGTATGTGTAATCATATTGTGACGAGTGAAATTAGGGAATAATTTCACGCACGTTTTGTCCTAATAAATCCTAATAATTTCCCGAGCCTTACCTATTAATATTATGAGTGACGAATTACGTTAGCAATGGTAAATTTTTGACATTTTTAACCTGGATCGCATCGATCGAGAACTCCACTCTCTCAAATGTTTAGACCTTAAATTCGGCTTAAGTTCATAATTTTCAGAGTTTGAAGACGACGAAGTTATGTTCAATTAATAAGACTAGTCTTCGATAACAGTTTTCAGTAATACCATAAATTTCAACGCCATAACTCATTTCCACGTTAAGACTGTGACAACCCTACCTGTATTTTCAGTGAATAATAACTTCTTGACTTCTCTTCTTTTCGTTACACCTTCTTCCTTTAGCCACAAATTAATGTTTAGATATGAAAGGAGCATCAACGAATAAATAGGTTTTGAACTGAATCATGTGATAAAAAAGATAAGACGCAATAAGATAATTTTAATTTAGGGAAATGTGCCTAATCACATCTGTATATAAGCTTTTCAGTTTCATTGGTGGATCAAGAGGAAAGGCCCTGGGACTCACCCCATGTCATTTTAGATCAAAGCGGGACCCAAGGGCAGAGGTGCTGAGATATTCTATTTCGGGTAAGGAGCGTCCCCACCGGGCCTTACCCTGCAGGTGTAAATCGGTCTCTGAGTTGAATGGTTTTATCATTTTAAAGTTAAGAAAATTGAGGCAGTAAAATAGTTTCCAGAAAAACAATTGTCATTGATGGAGGCGCATGTCCCATTCCTTTACTTTCGAAATCTACCAAGAAAGTGAACAACTGAAAGCGTCCCCATGAAACTGTGCGGCCAATAACTCAGGCTTCTATGTTTCAACGCTGCTACAAGGCTACTTCTTTTTTGCGAAGACGGATGACTAAAGATCCGGACAGACAAAAGCAAACAGACAAGGTCTTTTGGAAACCAAAAAACCCCGCTATGTCTGGAAACCGATAGTTCGTAGCTTTGCAGCGGTTACATCACAACACAGTATATGTACGTATTATCTAGCCTACGAAGTAGTCGTTTTCATTTCTTTCGATCAAGCGGGAAAAGCGCGCGAGTCGCTTAAGGGCATGGGGTAAAAAGGAGCCCACACACACATACACAAGTTAGGAGCGGGAAGGAGAGCGGAGAAAGAACGGAAGAAACGTTCCCGCAAATTTCCCCGCTCGCTCTTTTTCTTTTCCCGTCTTAGTGCGTCATCTGGTTTATCAGGCTGGAAAATATCTTACACAAAACGCAAGGCTGAAATGGGGGAATTATAAGCTTTCTGATCCAAATACGATTTGTAGATATAGTTTAGTCACTTATGTCCAGGTTTGCACGCAGCTGCAAAATTTGCCATTTTTCGTGTGCTCGCGAAAAATCCCAAAAATCGAAATTTTGGCGATTTTTCGCAGGTCATTGTCATGTTAACGATCAAGTTGCAAGTCAGTTGCGGATTTTTACAAATTTGCGAAAATCGCAAGGTCGACGATTTTTCGCTTTACTCGCGATTTTTTGGTAATTTACTTGTGACGGCAATTAAAGCATAAGTGCTATGTCCCAGTGCAAAACATCCTCGCGCTACAAGCTTAATGAGCAATCATAGAGATGCACGAATGTTTTGGGACGGGCCATACATTCCTATTATATCTGATACAAGGTGCTTTTAGTAATTCAAAACGAGAGTTATTCCGCAGCCATTAACGACTACTCCTTCAAGATGCCAGTTATATCTAGCCCTTAGCGGTGTTATTACGAGAGAATAAGTACAACCTGGATGGGAAGAAGGACCAAGGTATTACAGAATATATTCATTATATACTACTTATTAACTGAGAGTGTAATCTCAGACTGATATTTCCCTGTAATGGCAGAACGGACGAGGTTAACTAGTTAACTAGTTATTTATAATTTTCATTATAGCCAGCGGATAACGTTAAAACAATACATCGATCACCAAGAGTTGTACACTTAAGCCCGCAATATAGTCAGGTGACTGGTCAGTGGATACCCTTTCTGACAGCTGTCAGTTGTCCATGACATGGATGGTCATAAGGATGTCCACTATCAAGTGATTCATAGTCAGTGAATATAGCCAGTGCAAGTTTAGGCTTACCAGAAAAAGGAATACAATCGATTAGAAGTGTTACAATACAAGAGTCAACAAATTCAAAATATTGCTGTACTTTTTAATATTGTTGAAAACGGCTTGCAGCAAGTTCACCGCATTTCAGCACTTTGAAATGGATCACTGCAAAGCTCCGTGATCGCAGTTTAAATGCCTTAAATGTAAATATACGTGTACAATATTATTATAGTTTGTTACTGGTATCACAAAATAAAATGAGGTTAAAACTTTTCAAATTAATATATTTTGATGAAAGCAAAATTAGCCTTGCAACAAAATTTTTCACAGCATACATGATAGAGATATGTGCTGGTTTTAATTGCCTCGCTTAAAACTAAAAATCTAAATTAAACCATTGGACCAATCAAGTCTACATAGTCTAAGGTCCACGCGGTTCCTGATACTGACTTGAGCGGTTACACGTCACCCATATAGTTCCAATGTGGATAAGCCGTATTGGTCTCCTCCCTCCCTCGCTACCTTGAATCTCCTAAAGATTGCTCCAAAATCCGCACCTCATTTCTAAACATAGGACACAATTCTTACCCCATTTCAGACCATAGCAGTTTAAATCTACCAAATTTTTCAAAACAAAGCTTCGGTGATTGGCGCCACACCTACATACATGTCATAGATACAGTAGAGAGTAGAAGTGTGACGTCACGTTACCACGGTAGCACTATTTCTGGATGACAACAAAACCAAAGACGACAGCAACGGCAAGGAGAACGGCAAAAAATAATATGTTTATATTAACAGGGGCGGACCTAGGGGGGGGGTGCAGGGGGTGCGCCCCCCCCCCCCCCGAGATGACCTGCGCTTTTCTAATACAACTGGTATTCTGCCCAAAAAAAACTATGTGGTTTATTGGTGTTGAAGTAGAGCAAGAGACGAGTGCACCCCCTCCTAAAAAAAATCCTGGATCCCCCCCTGATTAACAAACAACAACTTTGCACGTGAATGACGCTCTTTTGCACATTTCTTTGCTGTCGTTACACCACTACGACAGGAAACTTCCTAATTTCACGAGCCCGCTTTTAGCCTACGAAAACATCCGTTTCTCTTCGCTATTCGCCGATGGGGACGTTTCGCGCGGAAAAACGTCCCCGACGGCGAAGAGCGAGGAGAAACGGATGTTTTCGCAGGCTACCCCCCTTTATGGAGTAGGGAAACACGGCCAAAAAATTGTCGCTTTCTTTTTCTAAACTTAGATAACGATAGATACGGTCCCAAAGAAAATTTCGCCAAGATTTGCCAAATTAAATGAAGTTGATTGGTGAAGTTTGAAATAGTGCGAATACACTTTAAAGTGACTTTATCGGTTTGTTGGCATCCAAAAATTCTGCTACCATGGCTACGTGACGTAACGAGGTCTCCTCTCTATTGTCTGAAACAGGTGACTTTTCACTTCAGCAATGAAAGCGTGATCACAGCAATACGTTGGCCCAGTTCTTCAGTCGCGCTTTTCGCGCCACTTGATTTTCGCTTCCTAAAACCTCCGTAGCGCCTTCCGATGAAAACGACAAAGTCATCTTCTTTACCTACGTGACAGCCTTCCCGATCGCCTTTTTTATTTGGTTCAACCCAAAAGCTTTTCAAAAAATTCAAACATCCCAAGCCCTGTTCAGAGGAAGGGCCCTATCGAGATGGCAATACGGAACTAACTAACTATTAAGCGGCTTAATAGGGTGGACGCGTTTGTATTTTCTATATTAGAATATGATGACATGTCAGGAAAATAACAAGAATTCACTTAAAATGCTGCCAAGGCAGATTTCACTAGCTGCTTTCACATATTCACATCATGAATTCTTTGAACCACTTTGTACCTAATCTAAATGTTAGCTCAGATTAATTATCAGAAACAAATAATAATTTTTAAGAATACTAAAAGCAGTTTTTTTCCTTTCTTAGTACCATCCGTCACAAAATAACTGGCGTGACGTTGAGCGCCAGGCTTAGTTGGTCTAAACACACTTGCATTCATCAAGACAGGTGGTTATCTGGTCTGTGTTGTCACCATTCTCATAACATCCGCCAGGAGATGGAAAGCATTCTCCGCAAAATTCTGGATCCTTGGCGTCCATAAAAGGTTCGTCAAAGTAAGTGTCCACACTTCGTTTCTTTGCACAGTAGCATTCTGACGCACACGTGTTAATCTGGTATCCGTCGTCGCCTACCTGATAGCACAGTGGAAAGCACTGTCCGCATTCTACGGCTGGTTCATTCATGTAGGCGGGTCTGTCAAACTCAGCCCGGTTTGTTCTGAAATATCTTGCACGAAGCTCTGGAATTGTGAAATGCAGAAGTAAGTAAGCAAGGTAATTTTTAAGTGCTACCCCGTCAAGACAGACTGCAAGAAGTCGAGTCGAGTCTTCGCGGTACTGAAGAGAGCGAACGAGCCCAGAAGGGAGCTATCTGTTCGCGATACAATCCTAAGGGCCTTGTGCTAGCAGCCTTGAGTCGCCGTTTTGGTGAGGTTGTTCGAGAAACTGGTTTGTTTCTGTTCGAATTCAACCATGGGACTGTGTTTGATTTAACGGAATCGTTTCTTTTATTTTCAAAGGAGTTTACGCAACAAAGACGACGACTTTGGCGAAAAAAGTGAATTCACGCATTTCAAAATTCATCCATCATATTCTATTACGTTCAATTTGTCAAATGTTGGGTAAAGTGAGCGAGGAGAAAAAAGAGGGGAGAAGAGAGAAAAAGCAGTAATTGTAATCTTAGTGTTTTAGTTTTGGCTACTTTCGACGGAAGAGCCGCAATTTTAAAGAAACGTTTTTAAAAATCCAGCTAGAAATCAATAACAAACTTCATATTGACTTGTATCTAACAAACCATGAAGACTCCCAGACTGAGAGAAAAGAAAATGAAAGGAGAATTTAGAAAAAAGCCCTAGGAAGAAAAAATGAAACTGATGATTAAAGTTATAATTTCTTTCAAATATTTCGTCGTTTCTGATTGGCTTCTAATTCTCCATAACCAGCCGACACTTGCCATATTTAGAAGACGCAAGCAATAGTTGCTTAGCCTGTTCCAAGCGTTCAGATAGTGGAGAGCGGTGCGAAGTACTAGGGATAGCGATGAAAAGTAGAGGGGGACTGGGGAGAGAGGTGCGGGTCCCTTCTCTCACCTCCCCCCTCCCTCGCTTTTATTTTTTCGCGCTCCCTTTTTCTTCGCACCGCTCCCCACTATCTGAACGCCTGGAACAGGCGAATAGTTGCTAAATGTAGTTTTATAGCTGAAAGCTTGTTCCAAGGGTATTATATTATTTTCTTTCAAATACTAAGTCTTTATCAAATTAATGAAGTCGTAATATTATTAAGAAACAGTTTTATTTTTTAAATACCATGAGGGCAAAAATAGAGTACAATTCTGAGCGCTTTGAACAATAGAGTGCAAGAGTAACTTACCTCTATAGGCACGACGGGACGAAACGCCACGTGACATTACTGACGTCATCATAATTACCATGATTGTCAGCATCATAAACGAAAAGGCGGTCTTCATGGTGATAGTGTAACCAGGGCAAAACAAAGGACTAGAAGGATCTAAAACATGTATGAAAAGAATCGATTGTTTAAAGTGATTTTTAATTCAGTTAACTCATCCAAAAAACAAAAGCAATTCAATGATAAATCATTTTGCTCTAGGTAGTAGATCATACGCTTAGAGTGGCATAGGAAGGTACGGCTGAACTAAGAAAGCACAAGGAGACGCAGTACCTGTGTGTTTTTTTCTCAGTTAGAGATTTCGGTTAATTCCCTTTCTCAGTATTCGTCGAGAAAACAACCACAGGATTTTTCTACCAACCACCGAGCCATTAAAACCAAAAACAAAAAGAGGAAATAATATATAAAGGCCGCTTAAGCCGCGAGTTAAGTTCTTTGTTTAATGCAGTTACTAAAAATGAAAGGCAACATACAATAAGTCAGTGAGTCTAAGTCTTTTTTTTTGATTCTCAGTCTCAATTTCAAAGTGTTTTGAAAATAAAACGAAATGAAAACTTTATCAGGTGATGTTGACTGAAAAAAAAGAAAAGAAAATAACATAAAAAGGATAATTAGGAAATAATCGAGCTACGAATTATTTTTCTTTTAGCTTAACGGATAGACCATGAACAGACAATTTTAGAGGGAAAGAAGACCTCTGCTATTAACGAATTAACATCAAAAAATTTAATTTATCGATGGGAATGATACTGAAACGGTCTGCTTTTCAACTTGAAAAGCAGACAAACTCTTTTTTGTTAGGGAATAGCAACTCGGTGGACACTTTCAATTTCACCCTTGAAATCTGCTGCTCAAATTTGGCAAAGCATCTTCATTTCCGGCAAGTCCAATTGTGATTATTACCAAGTAAGTCTAATTATGACAATCATGCCATACAGATTTATTAGTTTTGCTTGCGGTGATAAAAAATGGAAAAGTTGAAATAAAGACACAATGGTCGATTATCTCTCGAAAAAACCAAAAACCTTTTAATTTCCAGGCCACTTTTCCACTCCGAATTCAAATCTAACTATTTGGCCGGTTTTTTGAAAGACACGAGCTTGCGAGCTTGGTCAGGTCCTGAAGGAATAGTACAGTAGATAATTATGATAATTTATTTGTTGCGCGCAATTCTGACTCATTTGTTTGCAAGCATCAAGCATGAAATATTACATTGCATTTTTTGGCGGCTAAAGTTTGTTAGACAACATAAATAACACAAACAGCGATGACAGACATGGTAAACTGAGCACACAGTTTTGAAACACTGTAACAGTTACCTTTGCAAATGTAGGTCATGATCTTACGCCAGGCCGCTAGCAGTACATGTAACGTAAATTTCATTGTGAAAATGCACTGGTTTTCCTTGTTTATCCCAACCGTTTGTGTTTAATTTTCAATCAAATTACGATGGCCTAACTGAACAAGTACTTATGATTTTTAATTATTTCAGTTTAGCGCTTGTTCGTAAACAACCCTAATCCTAAACTAAATGAAGTATTAATACTGTAAAACCCCGCGACTAAAAACCTAGTTTTTTCCAAGTTAGCGTAAACAGCTTCTTAATATAAATGGTAGTTAGCACAAGTTTAGGTTCTTAAATAGGTTCTTTTCTTCTGAAGAAAAAAATGCAATATATATACCTCAGAGTATTTAGTGGTTCAGCTTATTCCTCACATAAAATCATTATAAAAAAAACTGAATTTCTGTAAAAATGAACATCGTTAAAAAGAAGAAACTGTAAAATCTGCAATTGTATCAATGAAAATTTTATTTGATTTAAACAATGGCATTTACATTGCAGTTGGAATGATGTGGCACTTACATGTACGTTTCCAAAGAGGATTCTTAATGTTTTTTCATTTTAGAAAGTAAGAACTTGTTTCAAAGTTTTGGCTGCACTTACAGTGAGAATTAAGCCAGTTAAAAAAGTCTTCCTGTCTGCTATGATATGAATTGCTATTTAAGTCTTAAAAGTGCTTTTAAAGAAGTTATCAGATACAAGATCATTAAAAATGGTTGAAAGAATAAGAAGCCTTTTTTGTGCCACTCTAAGTTTTCAAAAGTTACTTGGTCGATTTTACTATGTGCTAATGTTATTGTGTAAAACTAGGGAAAGAGGTAAAATCTTTGCGCGGGCGGTTCTGAGCGAAGCCCGCGCGCGCTTTTTTAGACCGAGCTAATTTTCGATCATGAATCAAAAAATAATACAGAAGACTGTGGAAAGAATTAGATCCCATCAACATAACATTCTTTGAGTTCATTTGAGAACATATGCAATAACGAGGCAATAATAACTTGTCTTTGTCAGTTCAAAATCGTAATAATAGGCTTACCTCTTGGGACCTTAAATGATGTTTCCACCACAAGTTCAAGTGACGAACTGATTTGGCTGTATGGGACTCACACCAATTAACTAAACGATTTGACAAAGGGTGTATAGTCTATTATAATTGACTAATTGCTTAGACTATTTTGACAGGCCGAAGCTAGCCTATTATTCTAAGACAATAGAGTAGCGTTTCTTTTTGTAAAAAAACATTCAGCTGAATTAAAAATAAAACACTGTCTAACCTTCAATTCGTATGTCCTGTGAACCGAAACCTACGCATGCGGTATAGGTGCCTCACTTGCTCTTTTCCCGCCAAATTAAGTTGCAAAAATTATGCGGATGTGTTTCTAGCCATTGATAGAAAACTTAGGAAACCCACCTATCGTAAATGCAGTTCTCCTCTCTTGCTTGTTTGTTGTTCTCTGACTCTTTATGGCGAAATTCCGTACGTTCAGATCAACACATTTGTCATATACGCTAATTAGGGTCCTCAGAGTGTCCGCTTAGTACAGAAGTCACCGTGGAAATTGTTGCATGGTTGGTTTCACAAGAGTGCTTCCATACAGCATAATTTACGAATTAGCATTTCGTGTAGAGTGTGAAAGGTTATTAAAATATTTGCATTAGCAATTTATATACCACACTTGATGACCATTGTAACCATATCCACTCTAGCCGATGTGCACCACACACCAAGCATAATCAACACCATTAATTTATAACTGTCAATAATTTATTTAACCAGGAGCCAATTCTGATTTAACCAATAGAAAAGCAAAATAAAACTTCAACATGTAAAATAACGATTTAATGTTCCGACGTTTCGGCGACATCATGACGCAATTATCAAGGAATAAAGATGCGAGTTGAAAAGGAGTTAAATACAACTCGAAATGGCCTCCGAGCAAAAAGATGTATCCAAGCTGCGACTCATTGTGGTCCAGGGCGATAACTACTCAAAAGAAGCAGGAGAATACTCCCGTACAAACGACAAGGTTCGAGATAATTACATCTGGGTGTGTGACAGCAAACCTCGGATGATGTTCTATTCAGGAAAGGGTTGGGTCATCACGGGAACATATTACATGCGAAAGGTTCTTGATGGTGCTTGTGGCGGCTTCGTGTATTCTAAACATGGTGATGTCTTCCCGTACGAAGCTGACTGGAGCCCAAACTTTGAGATCAGTGAAGTGTATCTATCAGCTGAATGTCGATGGGTGCCAGCGTACAAGTCACCCGCCTTGCATATTCATTGGTCATCTCCAGCTAATCCAGAAGTTCAAAGAGAGGGTGTTACCTGGTTCTATAACGAGGTTACCGTGAAGGAGACAGCAGATTTTACCTACTATTGTACCAGTGAATTCTATGGAGGCTACATGGGAATCCAGGATCGCTCAACTAAATGGGTGATCTTCTCGATATGGGACAGGACCTCCACAGATGATAATCCTAAAGCGCCATCTAATGACTTGGTGAAAGTGCTTGCTCAAGGGGTAGGCGTGACCGTTAAACGATTTGTTGGAAAAGGTACTGGGGGTCAAAGTCACCTTGTCTATGACTGAAAGGTGGGTCACCCATATCAACTCATGGTCAACGTTGGACCAGACACAAAAATGTGACAAGGCCATATTCACAGGATGGTTTCCTATTCAAGAGCTGAATATCTGGCGTCTGCTGGCTTCATTTTAAGTGCGCCCCAAAGCGGCAAGCAAGCACCTGGAAGATCCTCACTCATTTCTCGAGGATTGGGCAGGAACTGGACGTCGACGACAGGGCTTTTACGGACCGGCTTGGATTAAAACAGACAAAGACCCTTGGGTGCAGGCAATGCACGGCAGAGGCACAACGACGGGGTCACAAATTAACAGGAATGTCGTCTTGACCGATGATCGCAGACGTCTTGGAATGAAAACTGGTGGACTAGCATTGACCAATAAGTCCTAGTTGTTTTTGTTGTCGAATGAAACTGGAGCATTCTGTGCTTTATATCGAGTGTAGAGCCAGTCTCGTTCGTACCCAATTGCTTCTCGTATTTGCGCTGTGGTTGCTTCAATAGTTTTTAGAGTGTCTGTTCGGTTTGAAGAGAAGGAAGATTCTTCCTCCTTCCCAAGCGCCTCTGCGGGAATTAATCACTTGTATTTATGACTAAATTGCGAGTAGAGTTCGAATAAACGGAAGCTTGAATAAGCTGACACTCGGCCGGTACCAGTCTGGTGTAGGGAGCTCAGGTTAAGTTATAAAGCCGACAGTACTGTGGTTTAGGCCTTTGGCGGATGTGCTAGTAAAAGTATATCCCGTTGCTTTCCCTCCTTTATTTTGCTGGAAAGGCAAAGATAGAGCGATTTTCGTGTGACCGTGAAAAATAGTTTGGTAAGTGTTCGTTATTTGTTTTATCAGCCAACAGATGAAAAGATTAAAACATGCCCTCTTCGTTTTCCCGCCAAAGAAAACTCTAATATGGAGAGGGCATTGTTCGATTAGCCAGTCGTTTTGTAGTATGACGTCAAAGCGAAGTATTGGTTGATTTCTAGAAAGTGCTCAAAGAAGTTTTCGTCTCCAGAGCCTTCTCTTAACCAACCAAAAGCCACGCGCGTTTGTATCAGTTCGATAAACCAATCAAATCGCTCTATTTTCGTTCGTTCGTTGTTTCTGTTTTGTTCGGGAGTTTTCATGTCAAGGTCATACGAAAATCGCTCTGACGTAAAACCGTCAAGGAGGCGTATTCTATTCTTCTATAATTCCTGAGCGTTGAGGAGGTTTTGTTGAAAAAAGAAACCCGACAATTTTTGGAAGGAATATTTTTCTTCAAAATGATCCCCCTCATCAACTAAATGGTAATCTTAGTATGTAGATCATAATGTTATCACAAATGACATTTCGTGGTAGTACTGGCCGGGGCTGTCGCACTTTTTAGACTGACTAATAAGTTAAAAACGAGTCAAGCTTGATCTCAGTTTCAGTCGAACTTTGGTGCTGGAGTTTGCTGCTGAAAAAATAATTTACAGACCTCCCAGTTTTAAAAATTGGAATGAGAGAGGATTATATTAGAACCATAGCCAATTTGTCGGGGTATCGAAAAAATGATAAAAATAAAGGCTATTTTTTACGTTGTCCTGAGAAATAACAACCGCTTTCTAACCGAACGTGAGGCCGTACTTGGGAATATTGGCCCGAGGTCGTGGCAGTACGTACTGCCACGACTGAGGGCCAATATTCCCCAGTACGGCCCGAGCGAGCTCGGTTAGTAAATTGTTTATATATGGCACTCGGCTTCTGATAGTAAAATGCACTTCCGGTGGCTTGCACTTAAAGGGCTTCCGCCGTGACGTACGCTTGATGACGCGAACAACTCCGACAAAAGCAAGCTTCCAAGAGTTCGAAAAAAAACTCATTAAACAAAACTTCAAAACACTTTATAACGGAATCAGACGAAAGCAATTGTTGAAATTCGGGAATTTAACGATCAAACCATACTGTCTTGATTGAAATATGGATCAAGTCAGGGTCAAGTGAAAGTCTAAGTTTGAAGCTGTGAAAATTAATTCAAAACTGGACATAGTTAACAAACATAAGTTCAAAGTCAATCGTCCTCATCGCTGTCGATAACAATTCGACGCGTCCTTTCATTCTGGACAATTTCCACATTACCATAAAATGTTTGGAATGTGCACCTGCTGATGGATGCTATGTTTGGAACTGGAGAGGTGGAAGAAAGTAACGGATCGCTTGACTGATATTCTCTTGCTCGGAGACCGAAGTGTTGTATAAAAGTTTTCTGTTGGTTGATAAAATCGTCTTTGGCCTCATGGCTCTCGGCCATGCCCGTTTCATTTTCTGCATCAAATCAATCCTGACCTCGCTCGGAAAATGTTCGTCTTCTTTATCTATCTTTGAAATCTCAGTAAAAATTCAATCTTTTTAGCTTTTTCTGGTAGTTTCGCTATGAAGAATGAAAATATTCACTTTTTTTTTTCGCTGTTTTGGTTGCAAATTTTGAATTTGCCGGCTTTGCTCCAAAACAAAACTACACGGCTTGGACCGTACTGCAAAATCCCGACCGAGAAAGAACCAATCAGAGCGCACGGATTTGCCTAAGACTGGTTTTGCCATATAATAAAACTTAATATTTTTTGCAATAAATTGCTATCATTGTTTTAATGTCAATGCTACTGAAAGGACCTAAAGAAGCATCTGGAAAAAGAAAAAAAAATTACATAAATTCCAAATGAAGTCATCTTTATATTTAAAGAAGGGATAATTATGTCCGTTTATTCGCATGCTCCGAGAAGTTAACAAAATTTCGATGAGTTGGTGTGTTTCTTATTTGAACTGTCACCGTTGAAGCATTTGCACCGAATAGCCCACACGCAGCGCAGGTTTGAAAGTTAAGGAGGTTGACGTACAAAATTCAATTGATAGCCATTGAAATACGCAAGACATAAGCACAAATAGAAGTTATGAATAATTTATCTCCTAAAACATGAGTTCTAGACCCCCTCCAACTGCGAAAGAGCGCGCGTAACAAAGATAAACAATTATATCCTTGCAGAATGTTGTGCTTCTTGGTTTAGATTGTTGCCAAGGCATCGTTTCAAGGCCTGATGAACGGAATGCCGAATAAAGAAAAAGAGGTAAACTAGACTAGCGGCAATTTTTTTGCCGAGGAATCGGTCTGTCGTTTTTAATGAAAGCAACCGTAGAATGAGTTTTAAGGAGGGCAATGATAATGATTTATCTCTGTTTTAAAGTTCCTGGTTGTGTGTTTAAGTTTTCTTTTGTTCGACTCTATACCCACAGAAAACAGAAAAAAAGTTATCTGACGAACAAGTCGCCGGTAAGTCGCTCCACAGAAAACATTTTTGTTGTTTAAACTACGAGCCCTGACCACCAGTACAAAATTACGACGAGCATATTAATTTAGAATATATCAATGTGTCCAGCGTGCGATAAATTAAAGTGAAAATTTGTTTTGTGTGTGTGTATGGCGGTGATCCGAGCAGTTACGTGAATAAAAGGTTAGTGAATAGAGCTTTCCGTGTAATTTTTGTCGGGAGTTTTTTGGTCTTGTTTCCCTACAAGCGAGAGATCATATTATAAGCTTTATGAAGAGCAAAATTTTCCATTTGTTTCAGAAGTCACTTGGCAAAAGCTTAGCAATAAAGCAATAATAAAAACTGAAAATAAAAATGATATCATTATTTTTCCGTTATGGGATCAAAAGCTAGTTGAGGGTACCCTTAAAGAGCAGTAATCTTGGGAATACACGTCGCGTCTTTAAAACAAGACGTGTCATCGAACTGCAAAGTCAATGTTCGAAGTATTTTGAGCATGGCGATTGAATTGTATGCAAAACATCTTAGAATAGGAGTGATGTTTATTAAAACAGCTCTATGCAAGCACCTGCTAGCACCTATCACTGGCATGACGCCTCAAATTAGATATTTAGTTATTCACTTGAAAAAACCTTTGTTTTGAAGCGAGTCCAAAACGTTTTGCTTGCACGAACTTGTTCCTCGTTTTGCTCCAAGAACGGGTTAAAAAAAGCTCTCCGGGAAAGAGAACCATATTATATTTTTCACTTTATATCGAGAATAATACTCGACGCCGTGCCAATTAAAAGACTCGACATAAACAAAGCTATTTACATGAACCGTCACGTTTAGTTTCAGGCGGCAGTTTTATTCTTTCTCCTTTAAGAAACTGATTAAAACATGAATGAGTTAATTTTAGTTCATGACGTAAATCGTATTTTATATCATATTCATTGACACAGACACAAACAATATTTCCTCATTTTTTAGTGAATACGGCCGCTGAAAAATTCACCTTGACTCTCCCTTGTATGTCTTATAATTACTAGGCTTTAATTTTTGGCTGACTGCGCCCGTCTGAAATGCGCTGAATAATGCTATTTGAAAGTAATAGTAGTTTCTTTTAAGCCACTTAGTTCAGCCATAAAAAAGATAAAATTCGGACAAGGCTAAAAAGTGAGAGCAAATTAAGGATTAGCACAGTCGGCTAGTGCGCTGCCTAATCTGGCCATGTCCACACGAATGCGGACATTTTTGGAAGAGCATATTATTTATCAGGATTCGTGTAAAAGGGACGTTAAACCGCTCTGGTGACTGGCTTCAAAACAATGCGGTTTCGATGTCTGGGATTCACTGCTTTCGTGTGGACGAAAGGCCGATTCCTTTAAAAAAAGTATTGGGTTTCAAAAATATAATTCAATTCATGACAACCGAAGCAATTATCAGGGGCACCCAAAGACAATTTTCGGAAAAATATCTGTTCGGAAGACGATTTGAGATCTAGAATTTTCGGAACATTTGTTGCAAAATTTCTCGTTGCCTGCTTCTCCTAGGATTTTCGAACATCTAAAATATGGTATAATTGCCTATTTTTAACCGATTTTTACCCTAAAAAGGTCACCTAGAATTTTCGGGAGCCTTTTTTCTGGCTGAAATTTTCGAAGTGGTAAGTTTTGATCCCTATAATTTTCGGATCACTAGACTTTCAGCTAGGAAATCCGAACAGATGAAAAATTTTTAGGGGATAAAAATATGCCTTTATCTACCGTTTAAATACCAAAATACGTTTAACAATGCTATGTTTTAGTGGTTTTGAACTATATTCTCGTCGGGTGCCCCTGCAATTATCGACCTATCTGTATATTGCCAATAATATCTAAACCTGTGGAGAGGCATGTTGCACGATCTTACCTTGACTAGTTAACATCAAACAAGCTTTTACACAGTAAACAGCCAGCCTATCGTCCTAATCACTCTTGTGAGACTGCACCGTTCAAGTCTCACTGACAAAACTGGCTTAGAGCCATTGACTCAAAGGAACTTGTAGGTACAGTACTCCTCGATCTAAGTAAGGCTTTTGATCTGGGGGATTACATTTTATTGTTATTAAAAAACAAGAAGTATCATTTTGCT